ATGGATTCGAACCCATACCCTGTGGATGTCGGCTTGTGACTGGTGCTTCTGTATATGGTTGGCCTAAAGATCATACTGTAATACTGATTGTTTAATACGAAATATCTGTTCTCTAGAACTGTAATCCTTCTTCACCACCTTTCGTTTTCATCCTCTTGTTCTGGTTTTAGGCCTACCCCTCCTCATTCCCATTCGCGCAGCATCCGTTTTAACCCCATCCTGTATTCTCACTTTTAGATCCACCCTTCCCACTCCCATATGCGCAGAGTCCGTTTCTCCCCCATCCCCATATTCTCACTTTCAGATCCACCCTTAGCATTCCCATTCAAACACAGTCCGTTTTCACTTTTAGATCCACCCTCCCCATTCTCATTTGCGCAGCGTCCGTTTTCACCCCATCCTCATATTCTCACTTTCAGATCCACCCTCAGCATTCCCATATTCACCCCATCCTCTTATTCTGTCGTTTGTACCCTTCCCGTTCCAGCACCGTTCTTGTTAATTCCCACCCCTTTATTCCCACTTTTAGATCCACCTCCTTCCTCCCCCTCTATCAGCGTTCGTGTTCATCCCCACGCCATCATGTGGTGGTGTCCATTGCAAATGGCTACTTTATCTCTTTCATCCAGTTCACAGGCTTATACAGACGGTGGTATCTGCCTTGATTAGCTCAAAGTAATTTGCAAAAGTTGAAATGGTAATTTTGGTAATTAAATTATACCGGTAAAGTAGGCCTGGGGGTTTTTAATCAACAATCAATTAACGGGCAAAACTTGCTAGCATCCAATCATCGTTTTTCAGCAAAAAGAAACCTTTTCTTTTCAAGTGTCGCGAATTTCACTAGAGTTACATCATCAACCGATCACAGTACTGTGATGGATGGCGTAGTTAGCGAACGTTGTACGAAAAGACTTCCAAAGTTAACGTTTAAATGGCAAAAAAACGTCTTCCTGAAATAGGGTAAGGAAAATTTGTCTTGGCAAAATTCCATTTCGTAGCTATTGATTAAAACACTCATTAGTGGACGTATGCGACTTCTGTCCTTGAGGCGGATGGTCGAGACGTTTTTACCACGTCACCGAGTACCTTGAACTAAGGGCAAATAACTCATGTAAGTAATTGTTTGGTAAATATATACAACATACGGCAGATACGAGTGTTCGAATCTACGACGACTCCTGACCTTTCCCTGAAAATATGTGATAATGTTGATTTTTTGTCCCCATATATTGCCATGGTAACAAAGATTCATCCAGTACTCTATTTGTTTGCTTGTTGTTGGAGTTGTTTATGTTCGTGACAGTTTCAAAGGCTCGCTGACTTGGTAGACACACGCCATCGTATCCCAATCACTGGATTGTCTGATTCACACTCGAAACATTCACACAACAAACCAACCTGAATTGTCAGTCTGATTTACTTCCTTATCTGATATATCTGACAGAATCCTGTTTTGCCTTGGGTCATATTAAGATACCGTCTGCACTCTCCCTGAATCTGGATCCCTCACATGTTTCACTCTGTATCTCATTGCGCATCATTGAATCCCAAATCCTATTGAACACAAAATCGCAAATGTATTGAGAAAAGGGTGCTATATAGTTAAGTTACTATATAACATCAAAAACATTCTAATCGTAAATGTCTTTTTTACATACAATAGTGCAGAATACTTGGAAACCAATGGTATAGTTCTGACACACCATCAAACCAACGGGTATAGTTCTGACACACTAGGAATCCAACGGATATAGTTCTGACACACTAGGAAACCAATGGGTATAGTTCTGACACATCACAAAACCAACGGATATAGTTCTGACACACTAGGAAAACAACGGGTATAGTTCTGACACACTAGGAAACCAATGGGTATAGTTCTGACACACTAGGAAACCAACGGGTATAGTTCTGACACATCACAAAACCAACGGGTATATTTGTTCTAACACATCCAGAGTGTCAAGGATTATAGTACTGACATACCTGGAAAACCTAGGGTATGTACGTATGACAACGTATAGAATGGTATGACACAAATGTATGGTAATCGTATAAAACTGTTATGACACATACGACTATTTGTGGTTATCGTACCGCGACTGTATTGCATGTACAATACGTTATGATACATGTAAGATAACTCACGTATACACTTTATTTAACGTTATGATACATGTGACAACTGCTGGCAATAGTTGTAATTCAGCAACTTTAATTGTACTTTGGGCCACTGAGCCTCAACTACTGAAAAAAACCTGTCTGTCTGACAAATGCTGACAAATTGTATTGCGTATATCATACATCTGACGATTTATAATTATTGCAATCGAAGTGTATAAGCATACAAGTTGTATAACTGGGATGGTTTACATAGGACGACGCATGGTAATTATATACGTATTGTATGAAATGCTGATTCATGTGGCACATGCGGTAATTGTATGCTAATTGCATGACACATATATAATTCGAATGGTAATATATGGTAATTGTTTATTAAACACAGACCGTGTGTATAACGCATTCGGCACATGTACGGCAAACGTCTACGCAGTACCTGATATATATGACCAGTGTATGGCATTTATGTGGCAAATGTATAGCATGTATGCATATGACATCACTGAAGACATACGGTGACGTGTTGCCATATGGCTGAAATAATGTAAAAGCAGCGTTAAAATTTAAAGCAAAATTGTGACGTAAATACACGTTTATAAGTTTTATTCTATGTTGAGTGAAGAACTGAAAGTTAAAAGGGCACCATGTGTTCTGGATCTTTCTGAAGTATTACATAACATACACCATCATTATGACTAGTCGCAGACAGATGGTTCAACGTCGCGGTCATTTAAATATACCGTAAATCACTCAAAATGTTTTTAATAAAACACCCGCTTCTATCTAGTTACTATAGTAAATTTGTCGTGACGTTTACCGAGTGGTATATATAATCATACGATGGCAGAGGCTATATGGTGGGACTCTCCATGACTTTTGCTCACGATCCATATTGTTCGCTCGCTCTTTCACTTGTTCGCAATCATGAAAAGTCCTTTAAGACTTTCGGTACACAGAGGCCACTTTACTCGACTACAGTTTCCTGTGCATGGTTTCATGCGGCTGTGACGTCAGCAGACCCTCATCGTAAGTGGGATGTTTGACTTGCACAAATCCAATCAAGGCATCGGTCGTGAATTAATCAACTGATTAATTACGTTGTGACTTCTGATTCCAACATGTCAAAGGAGAACTCAATAATAATTTTATTGCTTTTATACAATTGCTCCGTTCGTTCTACGGGATAGCCATTTGCACTGTGTGCATTCGTCTTTTGTTCTGTTTATGTGCACAATATGTGTACGATGTGTGTGTACAAATGTCAGCTCCAGTCAAAATGGTACTGCGTTCACGACCCTTGAAGATCCGGGTCATATTTGGTCTTCCGTGCTTGAAAAATGTGTTTTGTTTGTCTGTTTGTTGTTTGACGCTGAACTCAGCAATATTCCAGCCATATGGCGGCGGTCTGTAAACAATCGAGTCTGGACCAGACAATCCAGTGATCAAAAGCATGATCATCGATCTGCGCAATTGAAATACGACATGTGTCAACCAAGTCAGGGAGCCTGACCACCCGATCCGTTAGTCGCCTCTTACGACAAGCATTGGTAACTGAAGATCAGTTCTCACACTGATCTTCACGGGTTCTTGGAGAATGAGGCGACCAACGGAATCGCGTGGTCAGGCTAGGGGACATTACGTCAATCACTGGATTGTCTGGTCCAGGTTATCATTTACAGTCCGCAGTCACATAGCTGGAGTATTGCGGCGTTTAACATAACACTTGTTCGTGTACAGCGCCCGTCTCCCGGTTCTGAACGGGTGGACGTGTTTGAGTGAGCTTTCGGCAATATGCTGTTTTTAGCAATATTCCTGCAATATCACGGCGTGGGACACCAGAGATGGACTTCTCACGTTTATCCATTTGGGAAGGCCAGGTCTTCGTGGCGTGCGAACGCTTTAACCACTCTCCTACCCACTAGGCTACCCTACCACCCCGTGTTTTATCTGTGGAGTGTACAATATATATGTACAATATACATGTCCTGTTTTCTCAGCATTCCCACGAATGATACGACAGATCCCGAATAACTAAGAGTGCCTGGGGCCGTTGCACAAACGATCTCAGCGCTTCACCTTGTCGCCCAGACCATCCAGACACAATTAATAGAACTCCTACTCAAGTCTGGAATGATTTGGCAAGTCTGTATTGCCTCAGTCCTCTGACTGACTGACTGAGTTTGGTTTTACGCCGCTTTTGGCAATATTCTAGCAACATCACGGCGGGGGACACCAGAAATGGGCTTCACACATTGTACCCATGTGGGGATTCGAACCCGGGTCTTCGGCGTGACGCTTTAACCATTAGGCTACCCTACCGCCCCCTCAGTCCTCTGATTGTTCTCGGCTTGGATTTGTTTTGTATAGTATATTTTTCGACATGGTATAATAAGATAATGTTATTTCTGGAACTCAAGTCAGTATACGCTGCGTCTCTTGTCGGCCTATGCAAAATTATGGAAGTTACGATCACCGTACACTTCGCTTCGTCTCCGAATATATATATATAAAATTTGTAATTTGTTTTATTTCCGAGTCTCAGAGTGTCACAGAGTGATTGAGTGAGTGAGGATGGGCAGAAGGGAAAATAAAGCGGTTCGGGCAAGACCTCCGAAGTCAAAGACCACTTTGTGCAACGGTGACCTGGTTCCGACAGCCTCTGAACACAAACAGTGTGTGATTGAGTTTAGTTTTACGCCGCTTTTAGCAACATTCCAGCAATATCAGGACGCGGGAACACGAACAATGGGCTTCACACATTGTACCCGTGTGGGGAATCGAACCCACGTCTTCGGTGTGACGAGCGAACGCTTTAACCACAAGGCTACACCACCGCCCCTGAACACAAAGACGATGAAAACAACAAAAGCTCCAGCAATGTATCAACACTGTACATTTATTGACAACAAGTCTCCGTAGCTCCATCACATCTCAGTCTTACCAGTATATATACACAGTCACACACAGGCTCTCATTACAGGTTAATTAGCACAGGAAAAACACAGTTGCTAGTCGAAGCTTCTTACATCAGTGTCCAGCGATCTGTAGTTCATAGAATAAAAACAATACCTCATAAAAGCAAATCACGTTAAACACAGTGCGTTCCCTCGAGGAGGAAGTAAAAATTACCAAGTGAATTCCTGATTCACCTTCTTCCATAGGCAAGGTAAGGGGTCCGGCCGTTACATTTTCAGGGGTGTGTGGGCTTGGGGAGGGTTTGTGTTAGCCGATGGTGGGTGGGTGGGTGTTTCAGTGAGTCAGTTTAGTTTTACGCCGCTTTTAGCAATATTCCAGCAACATCAGGGCCCCGGGGGACACATGGAATGGGCTTCACACGTTGTATCAACGTGGGGAATCGAACCAGGCTCTTCGAAAGAGCGAACACTTTAACCATTTGGCTTCCCAACCGCCAGGTGTGTTCTTCAATAATGGGTTCGACGCGTGTAATCGAACGCTGGTCTTCGGTGTTTAACCAATGTCATATTCAGTGTCCGGTGGAGGTTTAAGAGGGTTGGCGTCCATACATCTACATAGCCGCTTTTAAAAACAGTCCTGTATTCCCCGTTCTCATTTCAGTGAGTGGGATTAAACTTTACGTCACACAGGCCATATTTCAGCCATATTGTTACGATTTGAATTCAGAGATGAAACGAAACATACCTCCGTGCTATCAGCGTCAATGGGTTGGTTAAAACGAGTCAGCTTATGTGAATGGACAGCTAAAAAAATGAGCGAGTGAGTGAGTGAGTGAGTGAGTTTAGTTTTACCGCGCATTCAGCAATATCCCAGCTATATGGCGGCGGTCTGTAAATAATCGAGTCAGGACCAGACAATCCAGTGATCAACAGCATGCGCATCGATGCTAAAAAATGAGGTCGGAGACGAGGACCACGTAGATGGTGCCAAACCAAGGATCATAATCGAGGCGCGAACCTGGGATTCGAACCCATTGAAGTTAGCAACCGTGGGACACAGCTCCAAACACCAAGACTGATTGATTGTTTGTTATTTAACGCCGAACTCAGCAATTTTCCAGCTATATAGCGGCGGTCTGTAAATGATCGAGTCAGTCAGACAATCCAGTGATCAATATCATGAGCATCGATCTACGCAATTGCGCATACCGAGAACCCGCCTCACCCTCCTCCAATCACAACTGAACCCAAGTCCCGCACATTCAATGTTATACAGACCATGAGTGCGATATTATTCATGCATACTAACATATGGTCACGAGTGTACAGTCAGGACACGCATTTATTTTTGGAACAGATGTGTGCAACTCAATTAATTCAGTCCTATAACGCGATATATTTCAGATCAGAAAAATCGTAGTTCAGGGCTGAATATTTTTGCTTATAGCTGAATCGATATCACATATCGTCAGTGGGTATTTTCAGGACCGTTTGTAACTTGACTTTTCGCCACGTGATCAAGCCCGTCCACATAACTGACCGTGCAGTTGAAATACTCACGCAACCACGAGAGTGAGTGAGTGAGTGAGTGAGTGAGTGAGTTTGGTTTTAAGCCGCTTTTAGCAATATTCCAGCAATATCACAGCGGGGTATACCAGAAATGGGCTTCACACATTGTACCCATGTGGGGAATCGAACCCTGGTCTTTTGTGTGACGAGCGAACGCTTTAACCACTGGGTTACCCCGCCACCCCCAAGGATGAGATTAATAGGGAAACGATTCAAACCCAATGTTTTCCACGTCGTGTTCAATATTTACCTGTGGTATGCAAGATCGCATTGTCATAATACGATCGACATTATTATGAAACGAAATTCTATTATACGCAAATCTAGGCCAAAGGAATGTTATTTTTCATATTTCGTAGATCATTTCTACGATATTCGGTTACATTCGTTTCACACAACCGGTGCAAATCGCTGACGACATAAACCCCACCAAAACAGTGTCCCTTCAAGAGAGTGATTCATTTATGTCAAATTGTCAAATATACTGAAAATGCATTAACCGAATACCTTCACTGCACATTTACCACATGCAATCTATATATGTACTCCCCCGTTTCTAAGTCCGAATACATGTTCCTGAAAACTAATATCAGTTATGGCGAAAAAAAATAAAAGGACTTCAAATGAATTACGTGTCATCAAAATGGTATATGTTTCATCTATCGTTTCTAAATGAGGCATGTTATATTTCTGATGAGAAAAAAAAGAGTTCACAATAATTTGCATGAAAGTACAGTATTTAAATATCTATGAGGTGCATATCAACGACACAAATATCCCCAAGTTAGATACAGTGTACTGAATAGTTGTCATGGAAACGGCGCCCTCCCTGTGATCGAATCTCTATAAATTATCAACAAAATATAGGCACTTAAATGTTACCGTTCGAGCCACCTACATATAAAAGTAACACATCATACTATAGCACGTGCAACGAATTTAAGTGACAGGGACTGAACACACGGTCGAGACAGGCGTGAGTGTCCAGACACTTGACCAAAGCATAGGAACGGGTTTATGAACGGAATATTTACAAGTGTACATTCTCTTCCTTTCCAGTCACTCTTGATAAAACATGGTCTTGCGAACAAGACACTGATAACATCAGTATCTCACTGTCGTCTGCTGTCATAATGACGTCATCGTTCATTACGGCGAACCGGAAGTAACGTCTCCCCATGTTTGTTTCGTCCAGACAGTTGTTTACTGTTCTTGTATACTGTTTAAATAGTTGCAGAAACATGGTGCTTATCGAGTCAAAATGTTTTGAGAACTTTTCGTGGCTGGTATTGTAGCACAACTCCTCAAACATGTCCCTGTTTACGTGTGTGATTTCCTTCAAAGAGCAGACGACAATGGTTCGCCATTTCGAGTTGTCGGCTATTTTGTTTCCTGCACTCTGGCGATTTCAAGAATCGTCATCACTTTCAATATTTAGCCACTTGTTGATCCTTGGCGACACGGCCTGGCATTGTTTGTGTGTTGACAAACGTAGGGCATCCAACAGGCAGAACGTTGCCGTGCACACCACTGCGAGCTGCTGCTGCTGTTGCCGCTGCTGATCCGATGATTGGAGATGCAAAAGTTGGATGAAGATTTGTGAAATATCCCTCTAACAGACGAGTAGCCACAGAAGAGGACCTGAACAGTCTTTAGAGTCACCCATCAACATACCTGAAACATACAAAAATAGGAATCGTGTTATTAGACACATTTCGAATTTTATAATTAACAATCATAACAAGTTGAAATATGGAAATTTATACAAGAATAAGAGTGAGTATGATTTAACGCCGCTTTCAGTAATATTCCACCAATATCACGGCGGGGGAAAACAGAAATGTGCTTCAGAGACAGTACCCATGTGGGGAATCAAACCCATGGCTTCCAGTGACGAGCCATTGCTTAAACCATTAGGCTACCCCACCGCCCCCACAAGATTTATTTCGGGAACCGATGAACACACTCTAAAGATATTTTAAACGAAAATATACTACGTAAGTTCCATTTGTGTATGATTAATCATTCGGGTTACTAGTAGACAAAACAACCCCGTGCAATCTGAAAAACAGCCTCATCTGATCTTCACGTGTAACGACCAATAACTGCCGTCCGATATAGTTGGAATAAAGTCGACCTTAGCCTAAATCTTTATTCAGTCATCAACTTCAAGCATCGGGGTGCCACTACCATAGATCATCGGGGGTGGGGGACTTGTTTATAACACCGAAGGGTTGGTACAATGTGTAGTGAGTGAGTTGAGTTGGGTTGGGTTTTACGGCGCACTCAGCAATATTCCAGCTATATGGCGGCGGTCTGTAAATAATCAAGTCTGGACCAGACAATCCAGGGATCAACAGCATGAACATCGATCTACGCAATTGGGATGCGATGACATGTGTCAACCAAGTCAGCGAGCCTGACCACCCGATCCCGTTAGTCGCCTCTTACGACAAGCATGGGTTACTGAAGGTTCATTCTACCCCGGACTTCACTGGTGTACAATGTGTAGATTTATGGAGACCACTCCGTGACACTGCATATGATCTGAATTAAAGTGATGCGAAACCACTCAACCATTACTGGAATGCTCTTTGTTGGGCTCAATCTAAAAACTGAAAATGTTTGTATGACCTCCGATCGCACACAGTGTCCGTAATCGCATAGTTGAATGACATTCATCCGTAGGCAGTACTATGTATCTGAATGACATTCATCCGTAGGCAGTACTATGTATCTGAATGACATTCATCCGTAGGCAGTACTATGTATCTGAATGACATTCATCCGTAGGCAGTACTATGTATCTGAATGACAGCAGCATTCATCCGTTCATCCGTAGGCAGTACTATGTATCTGAATAACGTTCATCCGTAGGCAGTACTATGTATCTGAATGACGTTCATCCGTAGGCAGTACTATGTATCTGAATGACGTTCATCCGTAGGCAGTACTATGTATCTGAATGACGTTCATACGTAGGTAGTACTATGTATCTGAATGACATTCATCCGTAGGCAGTACTATGTATCTGAATGACGTTCATCCGTAGGCAGTACTATGTATCTGAATGACGTTCATCCGTAGGCAGTACTATGTATCTGAATGACATTCATCCGTAGGCAGTACTATGTATCTGAATAACGTTCATCCGTAGGCAGTACTATGTATCTGAATGACATTCATCCGTAGGCAGTACTATGTATCTGAATGACGCGTTCATCCGTAGGCAGTACTATGTATCTGAATAACGCGTTCATCCGTAGGCAGTACTATGTATCTGAATGACGTTCATCCGTAGGCAGTATACTATGTATCTGAATAACGTTCATCCGTAGGCAGTACTATGTATCTGAATGACGTTCATCCGTAATAGGCAGTACTATGTATCTGAATGACGTGCATACGTAGGCAGTACTATGTATCTGAATGACGTTCATCCGTAGGCAGTACTATGTATCTGAATAACGTTCATCCGTAGGCAGTACTATGTATCTGAATGACGTTCATCCGTAGGCAGTACTATGTATCTGAATAACGTTCATCCGTAGGCAGTACTATGTATCTGAATGACGTTCATCCGTAGGCAGTACTATGTATCTGAATGACGTTCATCCGTAGGCAGTACTATGTATCTGAATGACGTTCATCCGTAGGCAGTACTATGTATCTGAATGACGTTCATAATATGTATCTGAATGACGTTCATCCGTAGGCAGTACTATGTATCTAAATGACGTTCATACTATGTATCTGAATGGCGTTCATCCGTAGGCAGTACTATGTATCTGAACGACGGTTATCCGTATGTGCAGTACCAAACAGACGAATCGCGCTCATCCGTATGCAGTACAATACGGATGTACCATAAAGCCTGGTTGTATAGCAATACCTTCCATTGTGAACGACCTAACCCCAAACTCGTTCAGGAATCAAACCCTTGGCTTCCAGTGACGAGCCATTGCTTAAACCATTAGGCTACCCCACCGCCCCCACAAGATTTATTTCGGGAACCGATGAACACACTCTAAAGATATTTTAAACGAAAATATACTACGTAAGTTCCATTTGTGTATGATTAATCATTCGGGTTACTAGTAGACAAAACAACCCCGTGCAATCTGAAAAACAGCCTCATCTGATCTTCACGTGTAACGACCAATAACTGCCGTCCGATATAGTTGGAATAAAGTCGACCTTAGCCTAAATCTTTATTCAGTCATCAACTTCAAGCATCGGGGTGCCACTACCATAGATCATCGGGGTGGGGACTTGTTTATAACACCGAAGGGTTGGTACAATGTGTAGTGAGTGAGTCGAGTTGGGTTGGGTTTTACGGCGCACTCAGCAATATTCCAGCTATATGGCGGCGGTCTGCAAATAATCAAGTCTGGACCAGACAATCCAGGGATCAACAGCATGAACATCGATCTACGCAATTGGGATGCGATGACATGTGTCAACCAAGTCGGCGAGCCTGACCACCCGATCCCGTTAGTCGCCTCTACGACAAGCATGGGTTACTGAAGGTTCATTCTACCCCGGACTTCACTGGTTTACAATGTGTAGATTTATGGAGACCACTCCGTGACACTGCATATGATCTGAATTAAAGTGATGCGAAACCACTCAACCATTACTGGAATGCTCTTTGTTGGGCTCAATCTAAAAAAAATGAAAATGTTTGTATGACCTCCGATCTATGCACATTCATCCGTGGCAGTCTATGTATCTGAATGACATTCGTAGGCAGTACTATGTATCTGAATGACATTCATCCGTAGGCAGTACATGTACTATGTATCTGAATGACGTTCATCCGTAGGCAGTACTATGTATCTGAATGACGTTCATCCGTAGGCAGTACGTAGGTAGTACGTATCTGAATGACGTTCATCCGTAGGCAGTACTATGTATCTGAATGACGTTCATCCGTAGGCAGTACTATGTATCTGAATGACGTTCATCCGTAGGCAGTACTATGTATCTGTATCTGTAGGCAGTACTATGTATGACGTGTATCTGAATCATCCGTAGGCAGTACTATCTGTATCTAGGCAGTACTATGTATCTGAATGACGTTCATCCGTAGGCAGTACTATCTGAATGTATCTGAATGACGTTCATCCGTAGGCAGTACTATGTATCTGAATGACGTTCATCCGAATGACTGAATTCATCCGTAGGCAGTATCTATGTATCTGAATGACGTTCATCCGTAGGCAGTACTATGTATCTGAATGACGTTCATCCGTAGGCAGTACTATGTATCTGAATGACGTTCATCCGTAGGCAGTACTCATGTACTGAATGACGACCGGTACTATGTATCTAAATGACGTTCATGTAATCTGAATGGCATCCGTAGGCGACCGTGTATGTGCAGTACGAAACAGACGAATCGCGCTCATCCGTATGCAGTACAATACGGATGTACCATAAGGCCTGGTTGTATAGCAATACCTTCCATTGTGAACGACCTAACCCCAAACTCGTTCACCATCCAAGGTGTTCTGTTCCCATTCCTAACCACAGAAGCGGTTAATCAGCTAATTACCCCCAAACTCCAAGACTCATGTGGAAATGAGCACAGTTTCATCACGATCATTATAAGCCCATCAAATATTAAAACGCCTTTTCAAATCAAATGGAACTTCAAGACTTTGGGTGTATTTTTTTCACTCTCGAACCAGGAGGCCGATGCGAGATTATATTCCATCATGGCGTCCAGATATCGGGTCGAATGTACATACACCTTTCATTTCTGGTCCTGGGTAATCAAGACTCCCCTGCTTCTGGCAGTCAGACGTGAGAAACCAATTCCATCTTTTTAATTTAGAAGCTAATCAGCCTATATCTCAACCAGTTTCCATTGCGGGTAATAGGCTGAGGTGGTAGCAACCATACTCCCTCAACGCTCATATACTGAAATTACTTTCAGTAAATAGCCTTCCAAATTAAAGTGTTTATTACTCGTAATTATGCAACCCTAATTACTGTACTGCTCAACCAATACGGGTGAATGACACGGCCTGTACACGAGTCAATTAAGGCACTTTAAGTAGCGTGACATTAATTAGGAGCCTGTTGCTAGCTATGTAGTCTGTCACAATATGAGTGAATGGGCGAAGGATCAATGGCGGACGACTCGCTCGGGGCTCGGTCGTGTCATTGTAATTAACTGTACACTTAGATTAAACTCTGTCTACATTGGCAGATTATGCCAGTCCTCCTACAATTACTGTATTAAGTGGGCTGTAACATATTGCGTTGAGCCAGAACACTGGACCAGAACTCGCGAGGGGTTACCCGGGGAAGCTGTAACGGGAAGCTGCTGACAGGAAGTCGCGCCATGACATGCCGGGAGGCAGAGTTATCTCCCTTACCAGCTGACCAATTTAAACCGTCACGTCACTTAACGTATTAACGTTCTTCTTTTTGGAGATGATTGTGACATGGGAGGTTTTGCGTCGCTTTGAACTCCTTAACAGCGAAACCACTTAGAAAATACATATCACTGGGGACCAGAACCGGGTTTCGGGGCAACGTTCCAGCCACCCCATGGCCGCTCACGAAGAACAGAGATCCTGAAGTGCACGCGATATTTGAAGCTTTCAAACAAGTCCAGGCAGTTGATACTGAACATATATGGGAACATTATTTGGTTTCAATCATCAGTCGGTAAATTGTTTGCCATGGGATACAACAGACCGCCATCTGTATCCACAAGCCAATTATCGGGGTATTTAGGAAGGCTGATTGCAATGTCGCACAAATAAGCTTGGGAGAGAAAACATGTATCCAGTTTTCATTAGATAATGAAACAGTCGGTTTTCCTGTACGTTGTTTATCACGAAATCCGACAAATTAATTATTCATTCAATTAATTAACAAGGTAAATAATCCGTAGAATCAATTTCATTTGCTGGGCGGCTGAATCATTTCACGGCTCGTGCCACCAACAAAATTAGACATTACATTAACACTGTATGTGTAGTATCCGGAACACTGCATCTGATTAAAAGGAATGGCAAACCTCGTTTCGTCAAAAACACTCGTTTTTACGCTAATGAGACCGATGTTCGCTTGGAATAAATGGCATTATGATATACAGAAAGCAGCGGGTGATGTCGCAGTCAAACCAACCAGCATCACAGTAAGCTCTCAAGTCGAGATGGTAGAAAAGATGGCTTTAATTTCACGCTCGAGGATGCCGCAGACTTTGTACCTGGACATACCTTGGTTCCATTCACGTGTCATTGGCGTTCTCCCCCCTCTCGTGTCTTAAAGAAGCAGGGCATTATAGACTAACGCTAGTCTCTGAATGTTTTAATTTTGATAGAAACAAACAACTCCATTTATATTGATAGAGCCGTGATGAGATGGGGATTCAGAACGCGAGGGGAGGCTAGACTTGCTTCATTGTGGATTTTTGCACTTCAGAAATGGCTGGGCGGAAGAGAAACAAATATGATTCAGAGACTGTGAGAAAGACTGCCTGCGCTGTTCTAAGGCCAGTTGGCAGTTCTCGGAGTTTCATACATACACCTATCAACCAGCTCATGCAGACAATGCCTCAGTCTTATACTAGTCAAAAGAAGGTAAGGAACACAGATTCCTTCAAATTACTATCGAGAACCTGTAGCTTGTCATGAGAGATCAACTAGTCCTTAACTTCCTTTGAGAGGTATATTAACATGCAGAACTTGGATCGGTCCAATAAACCAAGGCGTGTAGTCTATACTTTAACGTTGATCAAGCCTCTCAGTGGTCATCGAGGAGTTTGAAATGATCCAACTATCATCTTGTCATGTTGCCAAGTTGGTCCCGTTGCCATTCTATTCAATTACCCTTTTCTATGAAACTTTGTGTATCGATGTATGACACAGGTCCAGCTGCCATAAGCTGTAAATTGTTTGAACCATTCTATTCAATTACCCTTTTCGATGAAACTTTGTTTTATCGATGTATGACATTGGTTGCCATAAGCTGTACGTTTTGAACCATTTTATTCAAGTATCCTTTTCGATGAAACTTAGTTTACTGATGTACTACATTATCTGATTTTTTTCCAATGAAACATATGTTAAATGACATATTATGTGAGTTGTTGTACAATACAAAAAGTGGAATAATTAAAAAAACAAAAAACTATCATCTTGTCATGTTAATAAGGCAGTCAGTCAACACTGAAAATAACTGGGGAACAGTCTTAGCAAAATGACAAAGATCCCAATTAAGACCTAGCCAAACACCCACACTGCCAATATCGAAATCATATACAATCAACCGTAATTTGACTCACGAACATCAAGAGTAAATAATTAATTATCGCATAACTGGGTTACTTTGGATTCTATTTAATTACACAAAAAGTTCAACTTCAGTAACGACAGCGGTGCAGCCTACGTGTTTATTGGCCTCGATGGAGGGAGGACGAAAGCCGTTTTCACGAGTCTCCTAACATCATGGCCGACCAGCTGAAAACCCGAATATAGAAATGAGGTTTATGATCAAAGGGCTTCGATTGCTCAGTCCCTGTCAAATTAAGCATCCGACTATTCCTAGCGATAGCGAAACACAACACACTCCGCAGCCATGTAAACAATCGTGCAGCACGTGCTGCAGCTCGTGGCGCCATCTTGCGAGAAAACATTTGGCACAATTCATACTTCTTGATCTACGGGTCCTTTTCACCCCGATCAAAGGCAGGGAGAGCTGAAATTACTTCAGCTGATCTGCGCCCGGGGTCCATGATGGACTTTGGTAAGCTGTATGTCATGGAAGTTGGAGCACGACATGGTTGCACCCTCTCCAATTTCGGGGAGGGATTTCAGGGAATTAAACATGTTAACATCACGGTGCGTGCTCGTCATGACATCTCCATCACGTGCGCGGCCATTGATCTCCGCGAGCAGTTTCCACATTGCCGAAATCCGGTCGCGGGCTAACGACATACCGTAAACCGGCACGGTAATAGGCTGGTATCGAATATCGAATTCTAATTTCAATTTCTCATTGAAATAAGCCATTCCTTTTACGCTAAATAATTGCAGGCACAGATGGAGCGACTATTAAATGGACCTCAAGACATCAGTTTGAGACTGTATGCCGATGACAGACGATTCGAGGGATAAGTCTTTGAATCAGCCCCTGTCAGCTGATCAATTACCCACAATACAGTTCCGCAGAATATAAATTTCGCAAAAACGAAACTGCTTCAGATTGCGACTACAATAACAGAAGATTCCTTTCAATTAGAGAACAGCGATGTAGCCGCCTTGCTTGTATAGTAGGACTAATCACTTCAAGTCGTTTGTCATAACAGCTTCTACAAGAAGGCGGAAAGTACCCATCCAAGACAATGGAGAACAACCACGCAGTTCTCATTCTGAGTGAAGAAGCATTAATATCTCGTTTAGGACAAATGGCGCTGATTTTTCATCCCATGTCTGATGTTCTCGTTTTGCCACCAACAACTCGACCAGATTGTTTTCTCGGTTAATTGCTGGTCCGTTCGATTTGATGAGGTTACCGCCAACTCCAACACTGTGAGTGAATGAACTTTTAGGATTCTTTCAGTTTTATACCGGCATCCTTTCAAGTGTCAAACATAAAGAATACTCCCATTTGTACTAGAACGTTACTGATGACGACGACTCTACTTTTGTGGCTGTCGATGTAACCAAGGAGACTATGTTGTAGATTATCCCTGACATAACGAGGAAAGCAATAAAACACCACCAGCTCGTAATCTGTGTAAATTGCATAAATTTCATAAATACTCAAAGCAGAAACAATTATCAACTTTTGTTGAGGTAACGAGGTTTAGTCGTTTTTCAAAGAATAATTCTTTATGAAGCATATCTATTACCTCTAGAAACTGTAACACCTTTACATTGTTGTACACTGCTGTTCTCAGTAATGGTTAACAGGATGACGAGGAGAGGAAAAAAGGAAAATCCGAAGCGTGAGTTTTGATCAACGTTGCTTTCAAAAAAATTGAGTTTTATTATGGCATGTAAGCTTCAAGTCAGAGGAAGCCTAAACGTGATGACTGATTTAACATATTACCACAGTAGTGACACCTACTACTATTGCTAGGGTCTGTATGTCTTACAGTACCTGCGCGATATTATGTTCCCTAAATGAAGCAAGTCTGGACTTTCCACAGCTTCTGAACCTCCCTTAAAGGTTTTGGGCGGTGGGGTAGTCTAGTGGTTAAAGCGTTGGCTCGTCACGCCGAAGACCCGGGTTCGAATCCCCACATGGGTACAATGAGTGAAGCCCATTTCTGGTGTCCCCCGCCGTGATATTGCTGGAATATTGCTAAAAGCGGCGTAAAACCAAACTCAGTCAGTCAGGTTTCATTCAAACGGAGTTGTTTGTTTCAAACTTATGTACTGTCAGAGTGAGTGAATTCAGTTTTACGCCACCTTTAGCAATAACACCAGAAATGGGCTTCACACATTGTACCCGTGTGAGGAATAGAACCCGGGGTCTTTGGCGTGACGAGCGGACGCTTTAAACCAGGAGGCTACCACACCATCCAATACAATATCAGAGATATGACGCGTTAGTCTGGTGTCAGGTTGACAAACCAAGAACCTTAATGAGAGAACCGCAACTCGAACCAGTCACCATAAGTCAACTCCGCACTGCGAATTGCGATGCCTTGGCATCCTGTGTCTTGCAACCGACCTGAAGACTGACTGACTGACTGAGTTTGGTTTTACGCCGCTTTTAAGCAATATTCCAGCAACATCACCGCGGGGAACACCAGAAATGGGCTTCACACATTGTGCCCATGTGGGGATTCGAACCCGGGTCTTCGGCGTGACGAGCCAACGCTTTAACCATTAGGCTACCCCACCGCCCCCCAACCTGAAGAGCTGCAAGCTGTGGATATATGCCAGTTTATGCAACCCACAACCTCTCAGGCAGCTGACCACTGATGACCAGCCTCGAGGCAATTCGCTGATCAAGGCCTGTAGATCTGTCACCAGGAGGGGCTTCTAACTGCGACCTGTCCCCAGGGTTAGGGGAAACAGGTTCTGCCACCAGCCCCTTCAGACAAGCTGCATCAACATTCTTTCAAGGAAGCACGGCCTTCCATTATCGAGATAAGATTAAAACTAACAATGTCCTTGTCATAATATACCGCGTACAAACAGCTCCCGAGTCAGGGTGTATATTAATGTATACAGTAATGTTATACTTGTTTAACACACAGGTGAGACTGCGGTAGAGATCCCAACAGAGTCCCGTGTCATCCACGCCAATTATGTCTCATTATTGAAACCCAATCTTATGTTATAGTAATGTGTATTTATCAAGATACAGGTCTACTTAATTTAGTTTGCTTTTCGCTAATGAAGTGTTTACAGGAATAACATACCCTGTTGGAAACATATTAGCTGTTCCACCAACACCTGATGTCATTAACTGTCTTGAAAGCTTTACTCGAGTAAAGTAAGAAATATTCTGGGGCTGGATGTTTTCCGAAGCTTGCTCGTGTTTCTCTATTGTAACATGCGTGTCATATATATACACGACAGGAAAGTCGGCTTTGTGATGGTCGACAGTCATTCTTGTTGCTTCGGAGAAGATTTCGACCAAATAGTGTTTTTATCTTTAAGTGAGTGAGTATAGTTTTAGGCCGATTTTAGCAATATTCCAGCAATATCACGGGGGAAGAAGAGAAGAAGAAGAGAGAGAGAAGAAGAGAGACGAAGAGAGAGAGAGAGAGACCAGAACTGGGCTTCACACACTGTACCCATGTGGGGATTCGAACCCGGGTCTTCGGCGTGAAGAGCAAACGCCTTAACCACTTGGCTACCCGCCCTTTTTTACCTTTAAGGCGGACGTTGTTTTACTCCATATACTACGAACACACTTAATTCTGCTCGGCAAACCAATGGTCGATAGCCTGAACTTCTACTTATACGCGCCATTAGGGCATGATGACACACTATCGGCTAAAGTTTAAAGTGTTTTCTTGTTCGGAATATATTTCACAATACATGTTTACTGTCCTGACATCAAGTGAGTGAATAAGGTTTTACGCCGCTTTTAGCAATATTCCAGCAATATCACGCCCAGGGACACCACAAATGGGCTTCCCACACTGTACCCAAGTAGGACTCGAACCCGGGTCTTCGGCATGACGAGCGAACGCTTTAACCACTAGGCTACCCCACCGTGCCCGTGCCATACGATCACCGCAGTTTCGAATCCTAAAATCGTACTTTGATTCACTCACTCCTGAGGTAGGGGATTTGACCAATGTGTTGCGGCGTAAAACACAACTCACACAGACGGTAAAACTTAATAGCAATTTACCTTATGTGCCGTCCGTGCGGGCAGCGAAGCGTGACCTTTTAGCACTTTTGGGTAATCTTGTTCACAGAGTAAGCTGCCGTTGACAATACTGAACCTATCTCCTGGCACAAGCTGCCCGTGGCACGAGACGCACGTGAAACACTTCAAGTGATATACGTTGCCTTGCACGCGCATCACGAGCTCGCTGGCAGGAATGTTTTGTGAACAGGCAGCGCATGTACCTCCAGACCCAAATAACCTGAAACAAACAAGGCAAACTTTATACAAGACGTCTCACACGAAATACTTTACAACATAGATAATCTTTGAGGCTTACACACATGAAATTGAAACCGCTTCACCAGAAAATCATGAATTTTCAAAATTCAAAGTCGAAGCGTTATTTATCATATCCCTCACTTTGACTTTTAATCAAATGACAAAGTAAACATTTTATTGTACATTTCTCATCGGTTTGTGAAAGTCTGCGAACATTTAAGAAACAAATTACTGTTAATACATGAAAGAATCAAATTAAAAAGCAATATACGAAAACACGGTTTTTTTAATTCGTGTATGAACAAAATCTATAACAATTCCTCGATACCTTTGAAATTTGTTATTATTAATAATAAATAAATTCGTGATTGCATTAAAATAGGTATCGACATTCAAGACTGCCGAAATTAGAATACAGTATTGTCGTCACTGAGAGAGACATATTTCGTTACAAAATACAAGTTGAAGAAAATCATTTTCATTTGTTCTTAAACATAAACAATTAAGAGGAATAGTGGAAAGAATTAACATCTCATTCAGTGTGAATGACAACGGTACAAGAATCGGTATCGAAACGTCACACACGAAATAAACAGAAGCTGTTATCCATAAAGTCTGTCTATATTGTACTTCCCAGCTTTTAAAACGCCACTCAAAGATGTGAATAACAATGAGCAGGAAATAGAGCTGTCTTCATACAAAATACATATACTCAAAAGTACCGTTTAAGTTTTAATAAGCCTATCGATAACAAGGAATTAGTCGCTGAAGGGTCATTTCATGGTTGGTTTGTCTAATACACATTTCCTATGATAAGCATTCACGGTGAACTAAACAGAGACCTTTCAAACCTGGATCGGTCCGACGGTTCGTCAAGTTCCGAAGTATGTATATTTTCAGTTTCAAACAAAACCCCGAATCTAAAAGCAAATTGATCAGTCGAGCCATTGAATGTAACAAAGGCGAACAGACATAGTTTGTCAATATGTAATTAAGCGGGGAAAAAAGGCTCTTGCTTATACCAACAATAACGGTTGGTGATCAATTGTGAACAGAAGCTGCTACAGTAGGTGATCACGCTCGGAATACCGCGGGAAACAGATGGTTGATTTAACAACTGTTTAACCGAACAAAGGCTTACCACGATATCAAAATTCCAAGTCTCACGGTAAAACGACCCCACTTGTGGACGAACGACTACAGTCAGTCGCTGTTACAACAGTTGATATATACACTTAAGATCAAAAACACCAGCTTGCCTTGTGTTCTCGGACAATTCACTCACAAGCTTGGAACGACAAAGTCACAAACAGAAAACTTAAATAACAACGCGAAAACGATAGTTGGGGAACTATTATTAATACAGACACCTCTTCAATACACAAGAGGTGGTGGGGAGCCTAGTGGTTAAAGCGTTCGCTCGTCACGCCAAAGACCCGGGTTCGAATCCCAACATGGGTACAATGTGTGAAGCTATATCTTGTGTCCCCAGCCGTGATGTTGCTGGAATATTGCTAAAAGCGATAATACTAAACTCACTCACTCACTCAATACACAGAGAAAGAAATGTAATAACTCATACATCATGCCTTAATTGTTTAAAATAATTTCATTGTATATAGCGCGTAGTAACGATGGTATATAAACTATTTGTCCATTTCATCTGTAACGCTGCGTGGGTTTCGAAATGGTTGAGAATAGAATTAAGGACACGGGCTCTCATTATTCACGAACTGTTTAATAGAACATAAACCATATTTATATAAAATTACTAGGAAGGATATTAGTACGGTAAGAAATTGGCTGAAATAAATTGGTTAATAAAACGTGTATGATAATAGATACCACGGTCTATAATGGACGAAGGGCTCAATATGACATCGCCAATAGTTCTCAATTTTGTCTGTAATAATATGCCTGAAAACCCCGATGTTATTTCATTATAAAGCAATTGAGTTGTCCAATTTAGGATTTGCGACCAATGTTTGTATAGCTCTTCAATATTGAGCGGTGTTTTTCCACCGTAAATTGACACGGAATAGCTAAATTAAGCCTCAACGTTGATTATGACAGATATTTAAAAGCAATATGTGATTGAGCTAGATATGTCACGTGGTGAATGATAACGTTTCCATTTAGCCCTTCCAAAAGATATAGCACTGGCAAGCTCGAGGACATACACAAACCTCGAACAGGAGAAAAATTGAAATATTAATTAAATTTACTTTGCCGGATTGGTTCGATGCCGGTCCCTCTTGCTGAAGCAGGTCTACACAATGCAGTACTTTAATAAGTTTAACTGCCTTGCAGGCATAAACATTAACACATGGCCCTGGGGGGTTCTGGCGTGTGTAACGGTTCCTCAATATTAAATATGTGCCTATGATAAAATCCATATTGGTTTCGATACATTCTACAAGACCAAGTGGTGTAATTGACGGCCGCTAAAATTTACAGCGACTCGGATAATATCAGAAGAGGGGCTGTAATGAGGGTGTGATGGACGCTTGTCGCGATATTGAATATTACATGGTGACATTTGGCCCTCCGTTCTCCAATTACATCCCGGATGACAGGCTGGTAATAATAATTTCGTTTCGTTCAATTTCCCTTCGCGAAAATTAAACATACCTGGCCCTTTGAGCTTCAAAGGTCGGCGTATCTCTCAATATCGGGAGTTACTGAATCCTGAACCGGCTATCGCCCTTGTCCGAATTGCGGAATGATATATTTGGGAAACTACCAAGCCCTCATATTACGATGGTTGATAGATTAGGAATGATTTGTTTAGTTGCGAAGGGCTCTAGGGTTCAGACACCGCGAAATAAAGCAAATACTAATATACAATCGGCCACACAACAGAGGCCTGCAAGTAATCGTTAAAAACCAATATTACATCGGCCCATCGCAAATCCAGCTCGGGTGCACAAGGCTGGGGTTATCTGTGAAGGAACTTCTATAAAAGACGGTATATCCCTCTATCAACAACTCACATGGTCGGGAATATTACACATTTTCTGATAATTCATTGTGGACTTTTGCGTGAAGAAAAGTTTAAATCAGACAGCCCCCTCTCCAAACCCAAATAAAATAACTAATTATAAAAATATATATATAAAAATACATATGAGTAAATAATGTTTTAGTACGCAAATATTCTCGCAATATGACTTCTACCGTCTTATCATAAGCCGTGTGTGACAACAGTGCAAATTTCCACCATCCTACAAATTTTGTGCAAAATATTAATGCACCGATAAAACTTCAGTGTTATCAGGAACTTATTGAATGTTTATTTAATAATACAGGAACAATAAACTCAAAAGTGCGAGCACATTGTTCTGACAATGATAACGTCCTTGTGTGCAAATATCGACACATGCCACATATTTTTGCATAACCCTGTACAGACAATGTTAAATATTGCTAAACCCTCAAACCCGTGACAGTCGCTTTATGTGCGTGTTCGGACTTCAGCAACGAGATGTCAAATATGATGAATATTTACCCTTAATTGGCTTTTACCTGAACAGATTGAACGTGGGATTATAATGAAGGGAATATGTTTTTGCGTTACGTGTCGACATGTGACAGACACCATGTGTTCCCCGATCAATTTCTGGTAACACGTGGACAAGATTGTGGGGAATTTAGTAGGGGAACTGTGGTGGGGATTTTCAATATAGTGTTTTTTGTACAATAGAGTGCACGTCCTTGGAACGGCAAATCGACAACTGTTTGATTCTACAACAATAATTGTATTACTTAATATTGAATTACACAACAGCCGTTCCAGCAATAAGGTGAAAATTGATGCCTAACAACAGCTAAACAAATTAAACACTGATAGCCTTACTTCAACGTTTGTAATTAAATTTTAAGCCACTGACCCATAAATTGTGAAAATGTCAAAGGCAACAGATCACATTTAAGATCGAAAATATTTTTAACTACTCTGGATACTTTAAACGAGTTGGTCTCAGCGTCAGTTTGTTCATCAAACAATTCATTGTCATATTGTAGATAGTATTTGAATGATGCTTAACTTGCAAATTTCAAAGCGTGTAACTTTATATTGCGGGAGTAACGTCGTAGATATTTATCAGCCTGCAGCCTGTGTGAATGCAACCATCACGGATATCGTGTTGCTAAAATCTTGGCTTCGAACCCACCAGTGAGTGAGTATGGGTTTAAGCCGCTTTTAGCAATATTCCAGCAATATCACGGCGGGGGACACCAGAAAAGGGCTTCACACATTGTAGCCATGAAGGGAATCGAACCCGGGTCTTCAGCGTGACGAGCGAACGCTTTAACCATCTGGCTACCCCACCGCCCCATCGAACCCACGAATCAGCGGATCCTTGCTTGGCTGGGGCACATGCACAGATGCACAGATTAAAAAGTATTGTTTGTCATTTCACCACGTGGCTAATGAACCTGCTTCCTTGCTGTATCTTATTATCAAGGGAAACCAACATATGCGCAAAATATTCTACCCATGTTGGGAATCAAACCTGGGTTTTGCGTGAATAGTAGAGCACTAGCATCAAGGTCGCTGTCACCAAACTGTATGAAGTACATCATATCAGTTGTAGTAAACTAATCAATGAATAATCCATTTGATCAGTCCGTCGCGACGTGTCAGAGGAACCATAAGGCGATTCGGGATTGGAGTGGGTGAGTATGGTTTTACGCCGTTTTAGCAATATTCCAGCAATTTAACGACAGTGGGACACCGGAAATGAGCTTCACACATTGTACCCATGTGGAAAATCGAATAGGGTCTTCGGGGTGACGAGCGGACGCTTTTACCACAAGGTTACCCCACAGCCCCAATCGGGATTCGAACCCACGAACACGGGTTTCTTACATGCCTAAGGGAGGCAACTCTGCACAGCGACCCGTGTAAAAAGACACGTCAAATTAATACATGTAGCTGCTTTGTTGAAAAGAGTGTGTATACCCATTCTCCTCCCAGAG